GAATGTTGAACTGTTCTAGCCAGTCGACCAGTCTTTTATTTATAGATGAATATAGTACAAGGTACAAGAAATTACTGGGATGCCCCTGATTAGTGATGGGACAACCAGATGACTTAAATCATTAAACAGGATTAGGCCCATTAACACAGGCCCAGTTACAAGATAAGTTAAACATAAGAACGGGCTAATAAGAACTCTTATCAGCCGAACATCACTCTAACATTCTAACAATCTGTTGTCACTAGATTGAGGGTTGAAGCTGAGTATCAAACCATGGTTCGTAGTATCTCTAAGTTATTGTGGCGTAATGGAAAGAATATATTTGAGGATGGTCTCAAAGAACCAACTATGATATGAATATATGATAATAAAGTTACTATTGGATACAATTCATACTCAAGCCCTACATGATAGCACCAAACATATGGAGGCTGTTCGATGCTTATTAGCTACAAAACCCAGTACAAGGGTGTCATATCATGTCAGATACTTCAATCTTTAGTGTAAATTCCATATCCAATACCATGTCCAGCCGTGTCCTTGATGTGTCAAGGTAACATAGTTTATTGGACAAAGCTGCTTCCCAAGAAGTATGCTTTCCATTTTTTTGAAAACCAAAGATCAGTTTGCCAATTTCCAAACAAGGGTGCTGTTAGAGTGAGTGGAAATATATTCTACACAAGTTAAGCATTAGATATATTATGTTATAATCATCTTGGGGGTATTATTGTAATTGTACATTTCATTTAGCAAGGTACATATATTCTAACAAATGGATGAGCTGACCCTACAGATTCACTAACAATGGACCATATTTTCTAGTGTTGCATACATATTTAAGTTTATTTTCCAGCACGAAATCTTGAGTGTTGCATAGATGAGAAGCTACTATAATATAATCATATATTCATATCTAATTTACCAAGCTTGTTTCTTTTTTTGTTGCCAGGTCCTTGCGTGCTATAAACTTTTGTGATAACCACCTGGGGCCAAGTTTTGCCGCCGGAATTTTCGATACTCTTCTTGGTGCTTTGTCTTGCATAACAAGCCTTGATCTATCTGATAACAATGTGAGGGGCTCATTATCAGTTGATAACCATTTTATTTATAATTGAACCAATAGAAAATCACTTACATTTTTTGCAGATTGCAGGATGGTTGTCTAATTTTAACCAGAGATACTCAAGCAGTTTCTCATCTTTAGTGAAAAGTGAATTCTTACAATCGCTGCATGTGCTCAATATAAGGTATTGGACCATAGATATAGTTACATTTGCTTTTGCCTTTGTCTTTTAGTGCTAACCTGCATAAAATAAAACATAGGTTTGACAATTGTACTTCTCTTGCCCTAACACAGAGCCCAAGAGACAGATAGAGGAACATAGAAAAGACTCTTCAATCATACTTCTCTTGCCCCATAATTCCACTTACTCTTTGCAGGTTGTTCTGAGTTCAAGGTGGGTGATGGCACAAGCATTTGTTTTTGGTAGGATGAGTGGTTTGGCATTGGAAAGTTTGTAAAATGTGTAATAGGTTGTTTCACTTGAGTTCTTGTCTAACATGCATTCCTATTGCTTTACTATATGTGATTCTGCCCATTTTAACTGTCCTAGCATGACTTGGTGGTGGACCTTCAAATGTTCTATGTTAGTGTTAGCTTTAGCTAAAATCTGGCCCTGGCTAACATAATCCATTTGTCTCATGGTGACCCCAATTTGCTTATTTTTATTGTTTAGTTCCCAATTGGTTGATTTTACTCGCTTGGTGAATTTGACCACCAATTTGGCCTTAATTTGCAATTTCTACTAATTATTCTGCCTTAATTAACAGTGCCTAGTTAGTACAAGTTGGTATCATTTTATTCTTTAGAGCATGATTCGTGCATGTGATGAGGAGAATGTTATGCTTACTACCAGGGGAAACAATTTACTCAAGGATGATGCTGGTGATCTTAAACATGCATTGGTTCATATGCCTAACTTGGAGAGTCTGGATATAAGTGACAATCCCATTGAGGATGATGGAATTAGGTGCAGTTGGATTTCCATTCCTTTGATACACTGATTTTTTGCATTCATTTAATGTAGGCTTCACTAGCTGTACATTAATTGGTCCAGGAATTTAATTCCCTATTTCACGGAGGCTTCTGAAAGGGGTTCTTCTTTAGTTGATCTGAAGATAGAAAACTGCAGCCTATCCTGCAACGGAGTGACTCAACTTTTGAGAAGCCTCTCAACCTTGAAGCCATTGAGAACTCTCTCCATTTCAGATAATGAGCTGGGAAGGTTAGCCTTTCTTAAACGCTAGATACCATTGCTTCATTTTCTTTTTCATTTCTTCTTGAGGCATTCATTTTAATATTACCATGTTGAAGTCAAGTGACTTACCCCATTTGGTACAAGGTTCAGTTTAGTTGTTGAGTTGTATCTTGCAGTCAAGTAGCAGCAGAACTGGCAAAATTTTTGGGCACATCTCATGTAAGAGAACTCAATATTGAAGATATTGCACTAGGTCCATCTGGCTTCCTAGAACTACAAAAAGAAATACCAGAAGAAATCAAACTTGGTTACATAAACATAAGGTTGGATCAAATGCCAATTTTTGGTGTTACTATGATGGCATAATATAATGAAATATAACATGTAATTGTCTCTTTAATAGCAAGAATCGTGGTGGAATTGAAGCTGCAAATTTCATCTCAAAGCTCATTTTGCGGTCTCCAGAACTTGTTGCAGTCAATGCTGGATATAATTTTATTCCTGCTGAGTCATTAGCACTTATAGGATCTGCGTTGAGAGCTTCCAGAGGTATGGATCTAAAATACCTGGTGAAATTCTATTACACTACACATCTTCTTCTATTGCAATTTGTTATCTTGGATAAATCAAAAGAATCTGAAACTGTAATCATTTCTAGAGGTTGAAGGCATACAACTCCAGAAAACCCTATCCCAACATGAGCTCAGCAATTGAACCTATAATACCTAGATTCATCACTTTGCCCTATGGTGCCCATTTTCTGAGAACAAATATACAGAAATCTGTAAATCTCCATCAGCTTTCCAGAGGTCAAGTTTGATGGTTGGTTTCATATTCTTCTTTGTTCTGCATTTAGGGCTGCAAATAAGTCGGATCATATCGGGTTCAAATCCAAAACCGATCCGTTAAGAGGCAGATTCAGATATCCCTCCTGATCCTAACAAATCAGATCGGATCGGAAAAGCCAATCTATTAACTTAACAGATTGAATTCAAATATAGACCAATTCGATCCACCATGACCTGATCCGATCCCCTAATATATACATATACATATATCTATCTATCTATCTATCTATCTATCTATCTATCTATCTATCTATATATATATATATATATATATATATATATATATATATATATTTTAAAATAATTTTATATGACAATTATACCCTTCAGTTTATATTTTAAGTAGGTTTTATATGTTTGTTATTTTGTATTTTTATTATGCCTATAATGGTATTTTGGCTTATAAGCCATTAAACCCTAAATCCCAAACCTAAACATGAACGAGACTAAATCAGCTCTTCCAATCTTCCTCTTTAGCGCATCCTCTATAACGTTGTTCAGCTGCAGCTAGAGGTGTAAATCAGACTGGCATGACACAACTTTGCGTGTCACCCGTGCTTTGGTGAGTTGTGACGTGCCATGCTTGGGTTAGGCCCAGCATGGCCCTTGGCTCGAGCCCAAGTAGGCCAGAGCTAGGCCGTGGGCCAAGCCTTGGGCCAGGCTAGGCCAGGGCATGATAGATATTTTAAAAAAATGAAAAAATTAAAACAAATTAACAAAATTGAAAAAATTGAAAAAAAAAATCTTAAAATTTTATTTTATATGAATTTTTATGTGTACAATTGTTTACATATGAAATAATAAAGTGAAATTAAAAATTACAATACAATGGAATAAAATAGTATAATAAAATTGAAAATAAAAAATTATATGTATTTGTTGAGAGTGTAAGGGCATTTATGTCCTTTCATGTTTTCTGTATTTGGGCACCTATTCAAGAGCCCATTTGTAATTTTCTTCAATATGTTAAGTAAAGCATTCTTCAGGGTGTGAATAGTAACACACCTGAGATTCTTGATAAAACCCTTTCTTCTTCTTCTTCTTGATGACTTTAACTTGGTATCAGAGTGTCGGAAGATCAAGGAGAGCATCAACCGTTGCTTGTGACTCACAGACGAACCTGCTGATGTCAGCATGCCGCCGGTTGACATCAGCGGCCCGTACAGTTGGCGATGTCCGTTTGCGGTTTTGACACCCATTGATGCACCTCATTTTTAGAGGAATTTTGATATACATTTCATGGATGTTTGAAGTTCTTTTACATTTTTCTTGGATTTTTCATATGAAAATTGGCGAAAAATACAGATTTGGAGTTTAGGACTTGCATGCTCGATGGTGGGCTAGTTGCTATTAAATCCACTTGCATTTGAATTGTGGCAAATTTATGAGATTACAGGAAGTAGTCTCAGATTTTTTGGAGCCCTTAAACTTTTTTGAGAATTTTTTCTTCCCCTATTTGGCCGCCAGCACCTTCTTTTCTTTTGTTTTATTGTTGTAGACCGTGTTTAACCTTCAAGGAAAGGTGTTTGGGTGTTCAGCTAGTGTTGGAAGATTGTGGTGTTGATGAGAAAAGTGTTTTTAGAGGGATGGTGGTCAATGGACTCACACAAGGATGTGTACGTACCTACCTATGTCCTCCTAGGAAGTAATGACAGTGCTGGAAGGCAAAATACTACTGTAAAACTTGATGGAACAAATTTTCTTGAATGGTCTCAATCAGCTAAGCTTACAATCGAAGGAAGAGGTAAGCTTGGGTTTATTACCAGTAAGGAAGTTAAGCCAAAGCCTGAAGATCCAAATTATTCCAAATGGGAGCAGGATAATTTGTTGGTTATGTCATGGCTTGTATGCTCTATGCAGCCTCCTCACATTGCCCGCAACTATATGTTCCTTCCAACAGCTAAGGACATTTGGGATAGGTTAACTTCAACTTATTCTCAAGTGAAGAACATGGCTAGAATCTATCAGTTGCGAAGATTAAGTGTGTAATATGTTGCAGGGGGAGAAATTGGTGGCCATGTATTTCTCTTCCTTACAATCAGTTTGGGAAGAAATTGATCATTTAGAAGCTTTGGAGTGGAAGGATCCTATTGATGCTAAACAATATAGGAAGTGCATTGAGAAAAACCGAGTTTTTGATTTTCTTGTTGGACTGAATGCCGATTATGATTTCACCAGGCAACACATCCTTAGTGCTGATATTTTATCACTCTCCACAGCATATTCTTTGGTGCAAAATGAAGAGAGTAGGAGGTGCCATGATGCAAGTTCCTGTCAGTGAGCACACAACTCATGTCTACAAAACCCAAACAGAGTTCTGGTAAACTTGAAGACGTAGTTTGTGAATATTGCAAGAAGCCAAAGCACAGCAAGGATAGGTGTTGGAAACTAAATCCCCACCTAAAGCTTGAGAAGTTTAAAACCGGAAAGAAGGTAAATGTTCATGTTTCTACAGCTAGTCATGATTCTCAAACTCGCATGCTTGAGGGAAATTCTTCTGCTCAGGCATCTACTCATGACACCTCTAATGTGATGGAAAAATTGAGAGGCATCTTGCTCCATCTTGAAAAGAGTGGGTTGCCTACATCTGCTGGTTCACGTACACCTTCTAGTGCCTTTGCAAAATCAGGTATTGCACTTGTGTGTCATGCTTCATCCTCTGGCTCTTAGATAATTGACACAGGAGCCAGTGATCATATGACTGGTATGCCTTCCTACTTTACCACGTATAAACTTTTTTTAGGGAAAGGTAAGATTACTATTGCTGATGGATCTCAGACCCTAATCTCGGGTTTGGGTGAAGTTAAACTTACCAACAACCTTTCTCTGAAATCAGTTCTCCATGTCCCGCAACTGCATAGAAATCTCTCATCTATTAGCTCACTTACAAAGTCTCATAGTTGTTCTGTAACCTTCTTTCCATCTTATCGTGTCTTCCAGAATTTGAGTACGGGGAAGACGATTGGCAATAGACATGAAGTCGATGGAGTTTATCTTCTTGATCAGTCTCCAAAGTTTGGGTTAATTGAAATTGTGGCATCACCATCTTGGGCATGTTTCTTTTGGTTCATTGAAGTTTTTGTTTCCTAGTCTGTTTGAGTCCTTGTCTAGTTCTGGTCTACAATGTGAAGTCTGTCAACTATCAAAGCAATGTAGAACTACATATTTGGCAAGTAACAAGAGAAGTAATGTTGCTTTCCATTTAATACATGTTGATGTTTAGGGACCTTATTCTATTCCATGTATGGGTGGTTATAAGTATTTCATTCTCTTTGTTGATGACTACTCGCGGTATACCTGGTTGTATTTGATGAAGAGTCGAGATGAAGTTCCTTCAATTATAAAAGGCTTTTTTAATATGGTGGAGACACAATTTGAAAAGAAGATTAAGATTATTAAATCTGACAATGCCAAGAAATACTTTGAGAAGCACTTACAAACTTTCCTTGAAGAAAAAGGAGCAATTCACCAAAGTTCATGTCCTCATACCCCCCAACAAAATGGGGTATCAGAGAGGAAAAGCAGACATGTGGTTAAAAAGTTGCTAGGGGATTGTTATTCTAGATGCATGTCCCAACTCAATTTTGGGGAGATGCTACACAAGCAGCTGTATATCTTATGAACAGACTTCCTTTGTAAACCCTTCGTCTCCAGTCTCCTCATCAGCTTCTTTTTCCTGACGAGGATGCCTTCCATCTTCCTCCTAAGGTCTTTGGGTGTGTCTGTTTTGTCCATGACATGAGTCCTAGGTTGACATTTGATTCAAAATCTATTAAGTGTGTCTTCTTGGGATATTCTTCAGTCCAAAAAGGGTATCATTGTTATAACCCTTGCTCTGGAAAAAGGTGTGTGTCCAAAGATATCACATTCTTTGAGTCTAATCCCTTCTTTTCCTCTTCTCTTCCTTCTCTTCAGGGGAAGAATGCTAGTGAAAGTCAAACTCCTTTTTGTATGTCAATTCCTACTCCAGTTGTAACTGGTATTGTCGATCCTTCTCCTTCTCCTCTTCCTCCTTGTGGTGGTAGTAATACTCCTCCTATGCCTCCTCCTCTGCCTCCTGTTCCTCGGTCTTGGCACCAGTGGTTTGTTAGACGAAAAAAGAGGATGACTCTAGAGATTGAATGTCCATTACAATTTGACTTACCGGACTCAAGTAATCTAGATTCTAAACCTCTTCTTGTTTCTAATACTTGCGGTGAACCTATTACTGAGCCTCCTAGTGTGGTTTTTGACCTTAACCTTCCTATTGCGGTTTGTAAAGCAAAAAGGACATGTGCTAAATAACCTATCTCAAATTATGTCTCTTATGATACCTTATCTCCCTCTTATTGTGCCTATATCTCTTCCATTGCTTCTATTTTTATCCCTCACAGTGTTACTGAGGTAGTGCAGTTCCCTCATTGGAAGGATGCTATGAACTAGGAAATGGAATCGCTTGAGAAAAATCAGACATGGGAAATTGTTTCTCTTCTAGTGGGCAAAGTTCCTGTTGGATGTAAGTGGGTTTACACAGTGAAGCATAAAGCTGATGGCTAAATTGAAAGGTATAAAGCCTGGCTTGTGGCAAAAGGGTACACTCAATCTTATGGCATTGATTATCAGGAGACTTTTGCTCCAGTAGCCAAGATGAATTCAATTCGAGCTATCATGTCTCTTTCTGTCCATTATTCTTGGCCCTTGTATCAAATGGATGTAAAGAAT